CTTCCGCAATTTTCGGGCGATCTTACGCTGTGGCCGTCTTTTATCGCCTTGTTCAACACCTCGATTCACGACAACCGACAGATCTCGTCAATAGAGAAGTATCAATATCTGCTGGCCTCGCTAAAGGGGGAGGCGCTCAATGTAATCAAGAATTTGCCCCTCGCCGCGGAGTATTACATGATTGCATACGACGCGCTGCTCGACAGGTATCGGAACAGAAGGAGGCTAGCGGACCACCACTTAAAGTCGATACGCGAAGCCAAACCGTTAAAGATCGAATCGGCCGATGCCCTCCATAAATTATTAGATACGTTCACCGAAAACACTCGCGCGCTAAACCTGATGAAGTTCCCTACCGATTCGTGGGATTTCCTTTTGCTCAATTTCCTGCTCGAGAAGCTTCCCCGATCATTGCGGGAAAAGTTCGAATCTGTCCATCGGGCCGAAGAGATACCGCGATACGCTCAACTCATCAAGTTTCTTTCCGAGCACTGTAAAGTACTTGAGGCCATCTCGGGTCCGTCGACCATGCCGTTCAAATCACAATCGTCCGCGTCGGCTTCGTCGCTTGCAACTCGAACTGCCGAGTGTCCGGCGTGCAAGGAACAACATCTCGTGTTCAAGTGCCCTCGATTCTTGAAACTATCCCCCCGGGAAAGGCATTTAACGGCCAAAACCGCGAACTTGTGTTTCAATTGCCTTCGCGCGGGTCATGGCACTAACAACTGCACATCGACGGGGACGTGCCGGTCGTGCCAGGCTAGGCATCATACCCTATTGCACTTCGGACGGAATTCGGATCCAGCGGACACCCCGGCGGATACCGGAGCCCCCTCCGAATCGGCCGCCGACGGGAGTTCGTCGCCACAAAATAATGAACCCCTCGTCACCATGGCTAGCGTCGCGAAATCGAGTTCGACAGTATTATTGTCAACGGTGCAGGCCGAAGCTCTCGACGTTCACGGAAATCCCTTCCCTGTTCGCATTCTTTTGGATAGTGCCAGTCAATTAAATTTCATTTCGGAAAATTGCATGAAAAAGGGTGGTTTCAAACGAACCAAGTGTCGTACTGTAGTCCTAGCGGTAAATAATACTAAAGCGGCTGCCACTCGAGGTAGCACCTCACTCGTGATTCAAGTACCGGGTAATGGCAATACTCGCGTTCCGATAGAGGCTACGATTCTCCCACGCATCTCCGCCCAATTACCTAGTAGACAAGTCGAACAAAGAGCGTGGAAACACATAGAGGGATTAAAGCTCGCGGATCCGCAGTATCACCGACCTGGTCCCGTCGACCTCTTAATCGGCGCAGATATCTTTGCCTCGTTGATTCGGGACGGTCGTCGTCTAGGGAGGAAAGGTGAACCAGACGCCTTTAATTCCATTTTCGGCTGGGTTCTGGTTGGCTCAGTGTCGACTCAGGCATCTCGGTCTACACACTCGTTCCTGACTCTCGATTCTCTAGATGCATCTCTCAGTCGATGTTGGCAGTTAGACGGGATCCCCACACACTCGGGGGTCACAAACTCAAGCGGGAGGTCTCTCGCCGCACGCCGCATGGGCGCGTCGCGGCGGGGTCAACCGCGCGCGTGATGTCTCTCGTCCGGGCGTCGCATGAGCACGTCGCGGCGAAGGTGTCCGCGCAATCGTTGTTTCGCTTCACCAAGCGGGATGTCTCTCGTCCGGGCGCTGCATGGGCACGTCGCGGCGAAGACATCCGCGCAATCGTCGTTTCGCCTCACCACACGGGATGTCTCTCGCCCGGGCGTCGCACGTCGCGGCGGAGACACCCGCGTAATTGTCGTTTTGTTTGGACGAGGTCGAGTCCTTACACGCTCACCT